GGAAAGACCATTCCAATGATCCTTGAGTTTGTAAGAAGAAGGAGAGGAAATCCAGGCATAGTGGATCAGAGGTGGGGAACCTGCAGCCTCGAGGCTACATGTGGCCTTCTAGGTCCTTGGGAGGGACCTTTTGACTGAGTTCAAGTTTTACGGCACCAATCCTTTTATTAAGGGGATTTATTCTGTGAAGTTTGGATTTAGTCAAAGGGCTGCACTTGAGGACCTGGAGGGCCACATCTGACCTTGAGGCTGCAGGTTCCCCACTCCTGCTAGATCTTCTGGTTGCAATCCCACCTTCTGGAAGAATTCTATTTAGGTCCCCCTTAATGCTAAAGCCTTGCTCCTAAGATTATATTAATTCTATACTGTGTAAGGAACATGATAAATGTTGGAGAAGATGTGGGAAAATTGGAACACTAATGCATTGTTGGTGGAATTGTGAAATGATCCAACCATTTTGGAGAGCAATTTTGGAACTATGCCCAAAGGGCTATAAAAATGTGCATACCCTTTGACCCAGCAATAGCACTTCTAGGGCTATATACCAAAGAGATCATACAAATGGGAAAAGGACCCACATGTACAAAAATATTCATAGCAGCTCTTTTTGTGGTGGCAAAGAATTGGAAATTGAGGAGATGCCCATCCATTGGGGAATGGCTGAGCAAGTTGTGGTATATGAATATGATGGAATACTATTGTGCTATAAGAAATGATGGACAGGCTGACTTCAGAAAAACCTGGAAAGACTTGTATGGTCTGATGCTGAGTGAAGTGAGCAGAGCCAAGAGAACATTGTACACAATAACAGCCACGTTGTGTGATGACTAATATTGATAAACTTAACCCTTCCCAGCCATACAAGGATCTAAGACATCTCCAGAGGCCTCGTGATGGAAAATGCTACCCACATCCAAAGAAGGAACTATGGAAGTTGAATTGCTAAAAAAAAAATAATAATAATAAAATTTATACTGTGTGTCTTGTTTGTACACAGTTGTTAGTATATTGTCTCCCCTATTAGAACGGAGCTCCTTGTGGTCAGGGATTGTTTTTTTTTCTTTCTTTTATTACCAATGCTTAGTATGGTGTTTGGCACATAGTAGGTGCTTAATAAATATTTGATCTGATTTGTCCAGTAGGTCTGGATGTGTATGATTTCTTGAATTATAGTATCCAGGATTTTTTTTTTTGGTTGTGATTTTAGATATATAGCTAGATAATTCATTTATTAAGCACTTACTTTGTGCCAGGCAACATTCTAGATCCTGGGGATACAAGTAAAACCATGCTTGACAGTCCCTGACCTCAGTGAGCTTATATTATAATGAAGAAAATAACACATAAAGGGAAGGGGGAGTGAGAAGCCCTAGATCCCATCAATACAAGGCCAAAGCTGGCCTGTCAAAGTCGAGGAAATCCCATGAATCTTATGGGATCTCCCCTTGATTTGTTTTTCAGATGCTTGCTTTTCACAGCAGATATTTTGGATTTTCTTCTATCTTTTCAATCTTTTGATTTTGTTCTAATATTTCTTGCTGTCTCATGGAGTCTTCACTTGCTGTTTGTCCTGTTTTGCTTTTCAGAGAATCAGTTACTTGGGGTTAGCACGCTCTGTTATAAACTATTCTTCTAATTCTTTCCTCTACAGCTCTTATTTCCTTTTTTTTTTTTTTTTTGATTCCCTGCTTCATTTCTTCCAGGTATTTCGGTGGTCCTTGTATCCAATTCCCTTTTGTCCTCTGATTCTCAGCTTGTAGTTGTTGTGGAGCTATTTGGATTTGGGAGTGTTTCTGGATTTGTAATAATTCCTTAAAGTGGTTGGTGTCTTCTATTTACTCACCTCTCCAGCCTTACTTCCTGAATTCGGTGTGGTGTTTGTGCCAGGATCAGGCTTTACCCTCAGCTGTACCTTTGGGTGGGATGATGGTCCTGCTTGGTCTTGACCTGGGTCCCCTGCATTCCTGTGCTGACCTCCTCCTCCCAGGGTATGCCTTTGTTCAGGGTGCTGGTAGGTATTGGGCCATGTCAGGATCTTGGGGGTTCAGAGTACTGGATCTTTAGGGTCCTCTGTGGAATCTCAGATTTGAACACTATAAACCCCATTAGCCTTGGGGTATCTTCCTAGCTTGGCTGCTCCCATTCGCAGACACTTAAAAGGTCCAGGCTATGGCTTTCTTTCCACCCCTGGGATTATCCTTGTCTAAGCCTTCCCACTAGCTCTTTCTTCATGCCTTAGGATAGAAGCAGGTACCCTTAGAAATGTTTTGGTCTGGAAGGATTTTATCTTGGCTAGGTTAGGGGGGACATCCCCCACTAGCGTAGATCAATCATATTTATTAAACAGGTACTCTGTGAGGTACTGGGGATACAAAGACTGAAATGAGATAGTCCCTACCCTCAAGAAGCTTACATTCTATAGAGGAAAACAACTCATAGAGAAATGTATACAAAATAAATAAAGTAATTTTTGGAGGGGAGAAGGCACCAACAATTGAGGAAGGGCCTCATGTAGGAAATATCATTTGAGTTAAGTTTGAAGGGAACTAGAGAGTCTGAGAGGCTGAGGTGAGGTAGGAACACATTTAAGAACAGAATGTACAAAGACTTGGAGTTTCACATGTAAGAAACATCAAAAAGGCTAATGTGGCTCATCAGGCTGATGAAGCCCCCCAAATAATGGCCCACACTATGGATACTCATCAACTAGTATTATTAAGCATGTGTCAGGCACTGTGCTAAATACTAGGGATACAAAAAAGGTAAAAGACAGTCCCTGCCCTCAAGGAGATCATAATCTAGGAGGGGAGAGTGAAAACAGCTATGTACAACCGAGATATATACAAGATAAATTGGAGATAATCAATAGAGTGCTGGCACCAGCTTCAATGGGGACTAGGAGAGGCTTCCTATAGAAGATGGGACCAGTGGAAACTTGAAATCGACACAGTCAGTGGCTGGACCAATGCTTGGAGCTTCTCTGACTTGGTAAGGGCTGCCGCAGCTTTGGCTTGGCAGCCAGAGCCTTGGAGAGCCCAGGCTCTCCACCACACCCCATGAAGGCATTTGGGCCAGGGCACTATTAGAAGGTCATTCTCTGATGCAAGCCCAGGCCCCCACAACGTCTGTCCTCAAAGGGCCAGCCTTGCAGTCTTGAAGCCTGCTGATTATTCCCCAGTCGTGGCTCCAGTAACTTAGTGTTGAGTTTTCCCCCTGAAGCGGCCAAGCTTGGAAAGGAAGAAGGTTGCTGGAGGCAGGCCAGGCTAGCAACTCGGCAGCAGCAGTTACAGACCCTGATCGGCTATCACGTGACTCTATGTTCACATGACCCTTGCTGACCAGCTCCTGCCAGTCCAGAGTCAGGTGAGGACAAAGGTCCCCAGTCACTTTTCTCTTGGCCCCTAGCCAGGGCTGGACTGTTTATTCTGGAATCTTTGGCCAGATGTTGATGGAGCCAGAGGAGGAGAGAGAAGAGGAGGAAAAGGGGGAGGGGGGCTGCCTCTGGCTGCTCTACTGGCATGCCCAGAACTCAACCCGGGAGCCTGGGAAGGAGCCGATGGGGGCCAAGTGGGGGTAGGGGGGTTGGAGTCCACTTCTAGTGGAAATAAGGGAATGGGGGAGGGAGCAGAGGAAAGAGGAAGGAAGCAGTGCCACATACGGCAAACTCATTCAGTGAGCTCAAGGGATGAGATTGTGGAATGTCGGAGCTGGGAGAGAAGCTTAGAACATAGACTGTTAGAGCTGGGAGGAACCTTAGAACACAGAATGTCAAAGCTGGAAGGGACTTTAGAACATAAAAAGTCAGAAGTTGCAGGAACCTTAGGACAGAATGTCAGAACTGGCAGAACCCATAGAACACAATGTTAGAATAGAAATCCTTGTTGAATTCAACTAAATTAAATTTATTGTAGTTGTTCAGTTGTGTCCAGCTCTTTGTGATCCATTTGGGGTTTTCTTGGCAAAAATACTGGGGTGGTTTGCCATTTCCTTCTCCAGCTCATTTTACAGATGAAGAAACTGAGGCAAACAGGGTTAAGTGACTTGCCCAGGATCACACAGCTAGTAAGTGAGTGTCTGAGGCCAGATTTGAACTAAAATCTTTCTGAATCCCAAGCCCAGCATTCTATCCACTTTGCCATCTAGCGGCCCAAATTGAACACAGAATGCTACAACTCAAATAGACCCCTGATATATAGAATATCAGAGCTAGGAAAGATCTTACTTAGAACAGAAGATGTTAGAGCTGGAAAAATCATGTGGTCTAGCCTTCCAATATTCTTTCACACATAATGTTTGAAGTCTGATCATTCACATAAAAATGGTAATGCTTGGCTCGTACTACAAACTTAATAAACAGTATTCATTCATTCATTCATTCATTCATTCATTCATTCATCACAAAGACCTTGCATGTAATTCATACTGTGAGGATTTTTCTGTGTCTAGAGGAAGCCAGATGGTACAGTGGAGACTAGAGGGCTAAGCAAGGATGGAGTCAGGAAAGCCTGAGTTCACATTCTGTCTTAGACATCAACCAACTCAGTGACCTTGAACAAATCACATCACCTTTTTCAGCTTCAGTTTCCTTATTTTTTTTTTAAACAAGGGGATCGGACTTGATAATCTCTAGTGTCCCTTATGCTTCTTGGAATAGGGGACCTCGAGGGGCTTGAGAACCAACAATAAACAATTGTAGTCTTTTTGTGGAGCACTTTGGGGTGTGTGGGGGGGGAGGGTGTTAAGACATGCCATTTTGGAGAAAAATCTTACAGCAACATGGATGATGGAGTCTACACGGCACCTCTACTGAACATCAGGGAATGGGAAGGTTTCTTGGAGGAGAGGGGTGGGAATATGATTTATTCCAGCTAGGTTTTGGTGTGTGTGTGTGTGTGTGTGTCTGTCTATCTTTGTCTGTGTGTATCTGTGTGGGTGTTTAAACTATCACTGGCTCAACCACATGATTTGGACAGAAACCTTCTTCCTTGCCCCAGCTGTAACCCTGTCTTGTGGATGCCAAGAAGACAGGCTGTCCCCAGAAAGACGAAGAGCCCAAGCGGGCAAGGAGAGGCGTCGAGCTCAGCATGGAGGATGACAGTTTGGCCACCGAGATTCATGAAGAAAGTACCTGTCCTCTCTTGGATGAGCAGTTCCCCAGAGGGAAAGGTAAATTAATAATAATAATAATAACAGTAATGGCAGCTGAGACTGAGATAGTAAGTACTTCAAGGTTTACAAAGCACTTTTGTATCTATTACCTCATTTGAGATAACCCTGGGAAGTAAGTACTATCAGTATCCTCATTTTTTACTAATGAGGAAACTGAATCAGAAGGAGATGAAATGACTAGTCCAGGGACAACAGCTAGCAAGTTTCTGAGTCTTCCTGACTCCACATCCACCATCCTAGCTCCACATAGCCACCATTAAGGTCCTTGCTCTCTCCCCCCAACACTCCTCCCAGGCATCTGTAGCAAAGGAAAATGTGAAGCCCTTTGGACTTTTGGAAGGAAACATGCTAATTGCACCTGTGTAAGAATGCCAGAGCCAGAGGAGACTTTGGAACATCAACTGTCAGTTCTAGAAGGGACTTAATTTTGTGGAGTACTATAGCTGGACAGGACCTTAGAACATAGAATGGTTGGCCGAGGAATGGAAACAACCTGGTTTTAAATCCCCTCTCTGAGGCATACTGGCTATGTGTCCCTGGGCAAGCCATTTCACAGCTCACTGCCCACAAAGCCTTCTACTCAATCAATTGATCAATAAGCCCCTTTTAGGGGCCACCATGTGCCAAGCACTGTACTGGGTACTGGGAATACAAAAACCAAGTGAAACACTTTTAGAGTTTATAAGTCAAAGGTTTGCTTTCTTCACTGGTCATTCCTTTATCAGTGAAATCACAGCCCCTAATCAGAAAATAAACAAAAACATAGAATGTTAGATTGAGGAAGGACTTTAGACTACATAACCCCAGGACATAGAATGTTAGGATAAGAAGGGAACATAGAGCATAAAATGTTTCATCTCAAGGGCCTTAGAAACCCCTTCTTTTTACATAGGAAAAAAAATGCCCAGAGACGGGTTACAGGTTTCACTGCAGGTCACTGCTTATTAATAGATACTGTCTTGTTTGTTGTTACAATCATGACTATTTTATCAACCCATGTAAACTAATGGCCTGTCTATAGCTTCTGTATGCTCTGGGTTTTCTGCATGTGTTCTACTGAACTGAATTCTCAAGGTAGACAGCTCCTAAAAGAAGATTCTGGGAAAGTAACAGCGGAGACAGCTAATAAATAAATTTTAAGGAGAAATGATGCCAGTTTATGAAGGCCAAAGAGAGGAGAAAGTGGAAAGGGTGTAAATTCACCCAGTCCCAATGAGACAGAAAATTCTGCCCAGGCAGGTAACTCCTTAAGCAAGTCCTTGAGCCAGACAAGGCTCTAACTGCTCAAAATTTTGTTTCATTCTGGGGAGCTGATCCCTTCCCTTATGAATAGCCAGGTCTTGGCTAAGGCACGAGTCTGCATGTTCCCCTATCCTCTCAGAAAGGCTTAAAAGTTCCAGAGTGTTCTCAGTCCTGCTGGGCTTCACCTCCCATGATCCTTCAGCACATCCTTCCAGCTGAGAAACATTACATTTCCCTTGCCAATAAAGACACCTGGGAAATAGGGATAAAGGACAGTATGAATACAGAATATTGTCATCAGACACTGTTGCCTGTTAGCAGATCAAAGACCATCCTATGCTCCTGTTACATTTTAAAGCCGCACAGAGCTAAGTTGGATATGGAAGGGAGACACTGGAAACCAGGATGAGGTCCAGGCCAAAGGGAGAGGGCTGAGAGCAGGGGGAGAGATCTGGAAGGATAAAGGAGGTAGGAGGTTACAAGTGCTGGATTGAGTCATGAGCCTTGTGTTCCAGCCCTGTCCCTGGGGCTTACTAGCTGTGAGACCGTGGTCTAGATGTTTTTCCTTTATGGAACTCAGTTTCCTCCTCTGTAAAATATACATAACGAATGATCCCAGCCCTACCTCCTTCACAGGGCTTTTGAGGCTGAAACTTACAAAATATAATGATATAAGAAAAGATATAATGTATTTCAAGCACTTCGAACCCAGTGAACTATAATCATGAGGGGCTATGTACATGTGGGCTGTTATCTAATTATCAAGACTTCTCTAATATTTTGATGGCTATGTGATAATTGTTAATAATTTATTTTTAAGCAGTAGTTCACATTTACTGCAAAATAATTTAAATATAATTCCTACTACCAGTGGTAGTAATAAATATTCATAGGCAAGTCTCTAAGACAATAATTCATGTTGTTTAGTCATTTTTCAGGCATGTCTGACTCCCCATGACCCCTTTTGGGGTTTTCTTTGCAAAGATACTGCAGTGGTTTGCCATTTCCTTCTCCAGCTCATTTTACAGATGAGGAAACTGAGGCACGCAGGGTTAAGTGACTTGCTCAGAATCACCCAGCTAGTAAATGTCTGAGGCTGGATTTGAACTCAGGAAAATGAGTCTTCCTAACTCCAGGCCCAGCTCTCTATGCACTATGGCACCCCTCTTGCTGCCCTGTAACTATAGGTGAGTTATAATGTGCATTACTGGAAGGTTTTTCCATACTGGTAATTCTATATACAGATGAGATCACAGATCTGGACCAAAAAGCTATACTCACTTGCTTCTCTCCTGGGGGGTAATTTTCAGAGCTTTGGCTAGGTCCCCATATTTGTCAGTCAACAAACATTTATCAAGTGTTTACTCTGTGCTAGTTACTGTGCTAAGAATTATGGCAAAAACACTCCCTGCCTTCAAGGAACTCATATGCTAATGACAGAGATGACATGTATTTATATATATAAATATATGTAATACATATACACACACACACATATATATACACACACACATACATACACATATATACACACATGCACACACACATATACACACACAAATACACATGTATACACATGCACGTGCATGTATACATGCATACATGTACACATACACACATACATGCATACACACATACACATAAAATATTTACAAAGTGAAAAGGGCAGCTTGTGGTGCAGTGGATAGAGCACAGGGTCTGGAATAAGGAAGATCTGTGTTCAAATCTGGCCTCTGACATTTACTAGCTGTATGACTCTAGGCAAGTCACTTAACCTCTATTTGCCTCAGTTCCTAATCTGTAAAATGGGGACACGCTAGAGAAGGCAATGGCAAGGCACTTCAGTATCTTTGCCGAGAAAACCCTATGGATGAAGTCTGTGGGGTCACATGGAGTCAGACATAACTGGACAACAAGAAGTAAATAAATATTTACAGAGAGTAAATGGGAAGGAATCTGAGAGAAGGCACTAAGCTTGGGGGAGACAACAGGCTTCCCGTAAAAGGTGCAATTTGAGTTGAGTCTTCTAGGAATCAAGGGAAACCAGGAGGCCAAGGTGAATCATGGGATGCATGCACTCTAGGCATAGGACATAGCCAGTGCAAAGGCACATAGATAGGAAATGGTGAGTCATGTTCCAGGAATTGTAAATAGACGAGGTAGGGCACCTGGATTGTAGCGTGCATGGAGGAGAGCCACATGTAAGAAGACTAAAAGGAGGGAAGGGTCCAGGCTGTGAAGAGGAGAAAGGGCACCTGGGTATCTGGGCTGTCTAGCTGCCCTGACCCCTTTCGTGGTTTTGTCCTCCAGGGCCAGGCCTCTGCTCTGTCCGCTGGGGCCTGGCTCTCATCTTGCACATCTCCTTGTTCGTCACTTACTCCCAGCGAGTGGACCTCAGCATTGCCATCGTTGCCATGGTGAACAGCACAGGCCAGCAGAAGTCCTTCAATGTCTCTGCAGATGTGTGTCCTGGGCAAACTCCGGCTCCCCTCAACACATCCCAGCCCAGAGAAGTCAAGGTAGTAAACTGCTTTGGTTGGGGAGAAGAGAGAGGCCTGGGATGGCCCCACAACGTTATGTTTTTCCCCCAAAACTTTTAGTGCTGTTTTTAGCTTTTATTTTTTAAAAATTATTTTATTTTCCCCATTACCTGTAGAAACAATTTTTAACATTTGTATTTTTAAAATTTTGAGTTCCAAATTTTCTCTTTCCTTCCTTCCCCTCCTCCCTCTTTAAGAAGGCAAGCAATTTGCTATAAATTATACATGTGCATTCATGCAAAACATATTTACATATTAGTCATGTTGCAAAAGAAAACAGACAAAAAAAATAGAGAAAGTTTAAAAAAAAAAGTATGCTTCCATCTGCATTTAGACTCCATCATTTCTTTCTCTGGAAGTGGATAGCATTTTACACTGTAAGTCCTTTGGAATTGTCTTGGATCATTGTATTGCTGAGAAGAGCTAAGTCATTCACAGTACAGCACTATGTCTGTGTACTCAATTTCCCTCCTAGCATACAGATGTTGGAGAGAAGAGCTCTGGGAAGGCGGGGCCTTTCCTTCGCTATCAGTGAAATTGTGCTAGGATTCCTGCATGTAGGTTATACTGTGAACACTTCTGGAATCCTAGAATTTCAGAGAGGGAAGGGACCTCAGAGAGGACCTAGCCTAACCCCTACCTGAGTAATAACCCCCTCCAGAACATCTCCAACAAATGGCCATTAAGGCTTTCCTGGAACACTTCCATTTATGGGGAACTTCCTGAGTTCAAATTTGGCCTCTGACACTTATTAGCAATGTAACTCTAGGCAAGTCAAAATTAACCTCTATTTGCCTCAGTTCCTCATCTGTAAAATGGGGATGCACTAGAGAAGAAGATGACTAGCCACTCTAGTATCTTTGCTAAGAAAACCTTATGAATGACTATGGGGTCACATAGAATCAGATACAACCGAACAGCAACAACCTGGAGTCAGGAAGACTCATCTTCGTGAGTTCAATTATGGCCTCAGACACTTACTAGCTGTGTGACCCTGGGCAAGTCATTTAACCCTGTTTGTCTCAGCTCCCTCATCTGTAAAATGAGCTGGAGAAGAAAATGGCAAATCACTCTAGTATCTTTGCCAAGAAAACCCCAAGTGGGGTCACAACAAATCAGACAAGACTAAAAAAATGACTAAACAACCATCAGTTTCTTAAATGTAGACAGTCAACAAAACAATTAAGCTTTGATATATAATATCTGCTGATTTCCAAGGTTTCACTGGAAATTGAACATTTGGCTTTCATGAAACTGTTTGAGCTGACTCCAGCACACCTCAGTATTCATGGCATAAAAGCTTACCAAGGGCAGGGACCGTGTCATTTTTCTTCTTCGGAACCCTAATGCCCAGCACATTCCTTTCCACATTGCAGGTGCTAAATGAATATTTGTTGGGTTGGGTTGAATTGCTAGAGGTTGCAGGCTGCAGATGGGAATTCCTCACCTGAAGTGTTTTTTTTTTTTGAGCTCAGCCTGAGTTCTGATTTCCTCACACCATCCCACTGGGCTCAAAGGATTTCACGTCAGAGAGAGGGTTTCTAAGGCAGATCACCAAAGGCAGCTCAGTCCAGACCTTCCCAACCGGTCCTCGGACCCTTAAGAAGCACCCAGGGTTTGGTGGTGGTGTAGAATCAGCCCAGTGTGGCATGGGCCTTGGACCTGAAGTCACATGGTTTGGGCTGGAGGGCTGTCTTTGACATTAATTGTATGGCCTTGGACCAAGGGTGGTGGGGACTGGCTAGGGGTTGGTGGCATGGATTGGGAGTTAAGGACGGCAGAGCAGAGTAGAAAAAGAAGGGACTGGACAATGGGGTCTCTAAGCTTTCTTCCAGCTCCAGTCTTACATCAGCTTAGATAGCTGCTGACCCTGAAATGTTCCTGTGATCCCGGAGCTTGTGTTCAAATGCTGACTTGACCACCTTTGATCTCTGTGTCCCTGGGCTACTCAGTGAAGTTCTTTGAGTCTCACGGGACCATAAATGGACATAAAGTGATGTGAAGATGTAGAGCTGGAAGGGACCATAGAAGCCAGTGAGTCGAACTCCCTCATCTAACAGATGAGGAAACTGAGTCTCAAAGAGGTTGAGTGACTTACCCAGAGTCACACAACTAGTAAGAGTCAGAAGTGTCATTTAAACGCAGGTTTTCTGGACTCCAAATCCACCAACCTGCGGACTCCTTGATCCTCTTTCTCAGTTTCCTCCTCTATAAATGAGGAGTCAAAGTAGATGATTTCCCAATTCCCTTGTGGCTCTGAATCCTCTGGGCCTCAGGTTCCTAACTTGTAAAAAGGGGACAATAATACTTAGGTTTGATCATTATAAGAATCAATATAGCAAATGTGAAAAGGGGTTTTGCATGATTGCACATGTATAAGCTGTATCAAATTGTTTGTTGTCTTGGGGGGAGGGAAGAGAGAGAAAGGGAGAGATTTTGAAACTAAAAAAATTATTTTAAATGAACATTAAAAATAGTTTTTACATGTAATTGGAAAAAAATAAAATATTACTCAAGAATCAATATAATAGGTTGAATTTTGGACCTGGAATCAGCAAGATTTGGGTTTGAATTCTACTGCAGACAGTTGTTAACTGTGACTTATTAACTTATTAACTCCCTGAGCAAACTGCTTAACCCCTCTGAGCCCCAGTTTCCTCAGCTGTGAAATAGGGATAATAATAGTGCTTGCCTATTATTGTTATGTTGTTATGAGAACCAAGTGAGATAACACAAAGTACTTTGAAAACCTAAAAGTACTATATAAATGCCAGCTATGGTTATTATTATTAATAATAATAATATAAAAACAGACATAGTTTTGGTAAACCACAAATTGTCATAGAAATGCCAAGTATCATTATCTCTGTTCTATTCTATTATACATTGATTACACAACTTATTATACTATATTATGCTATAGTAGGCACTTAATATTTATTGATTATATTATGTTGATTGATTTTACTATATTATGCATGATTATATGCCATGCTGCCTTATACATCTATTATATTTATGTTATACATTGATGATACTATATTATTAGACTATATTATATATTACTTATGCAATATTTATGTTGTTCAGTTGTTTCAGTCATGTCTGACTCTCCATGACCCCATTGTGGGGTTTTCTTGGCAAAGATACTGGAACGATTTGCCATTTCCTTCTCCAGCTCATTTGACAGATGAGGAAACTGAGGCAATCAGGGTGAAGTGACTTGCCCAGGGTCACACAGCTAGTAAGTGTCTGAGGCCGGATTTGAACTCATGAAGATGAGTCTTCCTGATTCCAAGCCCAGTGCTCTATCCACTATGGTGCCACCTAGCTGCCCCTTATACAATATTATACTGTATTATACACTTATTGTACTATATTATTATGATACTATCTTATGAATTGATTATGTAATACTAGTATGCTGTATTGTACATTTATTATTATGTACTATTATTATATAGTATTATCACATCATGTCATATTATATTATATCGTGCATCTCCTCTGCTCCCCTAGTCATTTGACAGGTCTCCCACTCTTCCAGGCCCCTGTCTATGACTGGACCCCTGAAACTTGTGGCCTCCTCTTGAGTTCGTTTTCCTATGGCTACCTGGTCACCCAGGTCCCTGGGGGCTACCTCACGGGCATTGTGGGCTGGAAGCCTGTGCTGGGCATTGGGCTGCTCCTCTCCTCTGTCCTCGGCCTTCTCCTACCCTCAGCTGCCGAGCTTGGTGTGATTTATCTTGCCCTCGTCCAGGCTTTTAGAGGCCTCTCTCAGGTAAGTACCACGTTGGTTTCATCATACGTAGAAAGAATCCAGGGCTGGAAGTCAAGAGAATGACTTCGTCTCAAATCCTGTCTCTTCAACCTATTGCCTGTGTGACCTTGGATTTTTCCACTCAGGAATCCAATTTCTTCATGTGTAAAATGTCAAAATAGCTAGCATTTCTACATGCATTAAAATCTACAAAGAGCTTTATAAATGTCATCTCATTTTATTCTCACAACAACCCTGTGAAGTAGATACCATGATTATCCTCATTGTACAGATGGGGAAACCAAGGTTGAGGGAGGTTAAGTGACTTGCCCAGGGTTGCACAGCTCGTAAGTGTCTGAGGTGGGGTTAGAATTTGGATCTTCCTGACTTGAAGTACAGTTTTCTATCCACTAAGTCATCTAGTTTCAAAGAGTTTTTATGAGGAAAGTGTTTTGTTACCTTAAAGCCCAATACGAATGTTAACTGTTAGTAGTAGGAGCTTAGCAACAAAGCTCTCATGCTGAAAGGCATCTTGGAGGCCAGCTGGGCCAACTTCCTCGTTTTTCAAATGAGGAAATTGAGGCCTAGGGAAGTTAAGTGACTTCTCCAAGATCATACAAATAGTACCAGGGGTGGGATTTGAATTCTTCCAATTCTTCCAGGTCTTCCAATTCTAGAACCATTGCTTTTTTCCAGTATTCCATAGCAATAACAGTAGGTCATATTTGCTCATAGATATCTTCTGTTGTTGTTTTCACTGTCTCCTGCTTGGACTTATTCAGTATATGAGCACGTCCTATTCATGGCTCTTTGCAACTTCAGTGTCCCACAGCACCATTTCTACTTTGTCCATCCACACATGGGAGCAAGGAGTGCTGAAGTGGTAGATCTACTATCTACCAGACAGGCCACCCTAGAAACACTGGCCAAGCACATCCATTTCACGTCTATTGGCTGCCTTCCTTCCGCTTACCTCTATTTGGCTTCTCATTACTGTCTGCTTTAGCTGGGTCTCCCACTGAACCATCTTCATGTGGGCTTATTATCATTACATCTCTGGGCCTCAGTTTCCCCATCTGCCAAGTGAAGGGTTTGGACTAGACATTGGCTAGAATTGACATTCTAGTACTGATATTATATTATGATGCTAGTTAGATAAGCTAGCTATGTATGATAATACAGTCATAAGAAGAAACCTGCAGGAAATTTGTCGGGAAATTGAAGAAAGGCAGTGCTTAAGATTATGGAGATGGGAAGGGAGAAGAGGATATGATGTGATCAAAATAAATTCTATATTCCAGAAGGAATCTGGAGCAGATGTGACACAGTAATGATACCAGTGGTAATGATAATGATAAACGTGGCGGATAATTCCTTTCCAGCATTTCTCCCTGGAATGTTAATAGGATGAAATGTGAAAATGTGCTTAAAAGTGCTTTGGGGGCAGCTAGGTGGCACAATAGATAGAGCACCGACCCTGGAGTCAGGAGGATCTGAGTTCAAATCCAGCCTCAGACACATAACACTTAATAGTTGTGCGACTCTGGGCAAGTCACTTAACCCCGATTGCCTCACCAAAAAAAAAAAAGTGCTTTGTAACCATTAAGAGAGAATTGAGTATTAAAAACAACAACAACTAATATGTTTACAGTATTATTTTGAATGCTTCAAAACCTTATGATATATATTATATGGCACAATACATATATTATTTCATTGATCCTCACAATAACCAAGAGAAGTAGATGCCATTATTATCCTTCTTTTACAGGTGAGGAAATTAAGGCACACAGTGGCTAAATGACTTACCCAAGGTAATAGAACTACTGTAATAATAGTAGTAGTAGCAGTAGTAATAATAACTCGCACTTATATATGCTTTAAGGTTTGCAACGCACTTTATATGTGGTATCTCATTCAATCCTTACAACAACTCTGGGACATAGGTGATATGATTATTATCATTTTACAAATGAAGAAACTGAGGCAGATAGAGGTTAAATGATTCATGCAGGGTCACATGACTTGTAAGTGTCTGAGGCAGGACTTGAACTCAGGTCTTTCTGATTCCCAGTCCAGTCGTTCACGTACTATGTCATTTAATAATATTATTCTTACTACTCCACAGGGGTCTAAAGGATTAAATAGAATATTGAACATGGAAGAAGCCTTGTCTCTTCTTATTGCTCTTATTGGGAGTCAAATAGATTCTTGATGTTGGGTTTTTTTCATTTTATTTACCTGCCTCCCTTGTTCTCCATCTGATAGGGTGCTTGGGTACTTGTACTGGGACCCCAATTCCAAGACCATACTTCTCTTTTTCTCTCTTCCTCCATGATTGGAAGTGGAGGAGACCAAGTAGGGATGGTCAAAGATGGAAATGTACATTGTGTGGTGGGGGGAGCTCTGGACTGAGGGCTGGGAGACCGAGATTTTAGTCCCTTTAGGCAGGGCCTTTCCCCCTTTGAGATTCAGTTTCCTCATTTGTACAATGAAGGGGTTCGACTAGACTCTCTCTAAGGTTTCTTTGGGTCTTAATGTTCTACGTTCTAAGGTCCCTTTCAGCTCTAACATATTATAATTGAACATTGTCAGTTCTAAGGTCTCTTCTAGCTCTGACATTCTCTGTTTGTTAGCTTCTTTCTAACTTGAACTTCACTCTTTTAAACAAGCTTTGAGAAATAAAACATAGCATGACAGTGGGGGGAAGATGTTTTTCCTTCTTTGGATTTCTCTGAGAGGATAAGTTGCAGACAAAGCACAAACCTGCCATCAGGAAATGTAGTTTCCTCACCCAGGAATCCTGTATAACCACGACACCACAGGGCCCATCCCCGTCCTTGTCGCTTTCCTCCCCCAGGCCTTCCCACCTTCCAAGTGCAGAAAATGCAGAAGTGAATTGTCACCTTTACAGTGGGAATAACCAGGTTGCTTTGCCCTCTGTGACAGGAGGTGATATTCCCAGCGGTTTACACTCTCTGGACAAAGTGGGCCCCACCTCAGGAACTCACCTGCCTCATGAATGTTGCAGATGCTGGTAAGAAAGGGTTCCTTCTTGGTTGCTTCTCACAAATCTGCCTCCTGTAGCCCAATCCCTTGACCTGCCACTCCTGGTGGGCCTCCCTCACTGACTCCACGTTCCCAGGGATGGGTTTTCAAGACCAGTGCAGCTCCCACACCTCAGAAGGCATAAAGGCTGCTCCTCCATAAGACCATGACCTAGGAAAAGCTTATCTTCAGAACCACCACCGCTGGTACGAGGGCCTCCTTCCCAAGGGCTCCGAAGTCTGTGTTTCAGCTGAGATGGGCACTAGTGAGACTTGGCCTTGGTCATGTTCCTTCCCATCTCTAGACCTCCATTTTCTCAACTGTAAAATAAGAGAGTTGGACTATGTGCTCTCTGACCTCCTGGACAGTTATGGACTTATTATGTTCTAAGGTCCCTCCCAGCTTCGTTCTGACATTTGATGTCCTAGAACACAGGAGACTCTCCAGTACTAATTCATTTTAAAAGTCCTTCAAACTCTGTTATATATTTTTAGGGTCCCTCCCAGCTCTGACATTCTATGTTCTAAGGTCCCTCCCAGCTCTGACATTCTGAGTTCTAAGGGCCCTCCCAGCTCTGACATTCTATGTTCTAAGGTCCCTCCCAGCTCTGACATTCTGTGTTCTAAGGGCCCTCCCAGCTCTGACATTCTATGTTCTAAGGTCCCTCCCAGCTCTGACATTCTATGTTCTAAGGTCCCTCCCAGCTCTGACATTCTGAGTTCTAAGTGCCCTCCCAGCTCTGACATTCTGAGTTCTAAGTGCCCTCCCAGCTCTGACATTCTATGTTCTAAGGTCCTCCCAGCTCTGACATTGTGTTCTAAGAGCCCTCCCAGCTCTGACATTCTGAGTTCTAAGGGCCCTCCCAGCTCT